TTTTCTCTATAGTCTGGAGAACAGTTGAAATTCCAGAAAAGCTTCAGGTTCCACCTAGAAGTGGGCAAACTTGCCTGTCATTCTGAAGCAAAGGATCCCTGGAATTTCATGTGCAAACCAGAGAAAATAATAGAGCAAGTATGAAGTCCTTCTAAAGTTACTAATGTTGCTGTCCTGTGAAATTTAGCACTAGTGGTCCTGTTTGGGAAAAGGTTTCCGGGTCCTGACTCCTAATCATGGCTTGTAAGGGGGGGGGGGACATCTTGCGTTGCATTCCAACGTAGGGGTGTCTGGAACTTGACATGTCTTTTTCCCATAGGATTTTCCACTTTACTTTCCTGTGCCCTCAGATATCCCCAGAGGGCCTGTACAGTGTCTCAGATACCTCCCCCCCCACACACACCACCACACAAACAACCTTCTGCAGACAAGAGGTTCTTGTCCACCCCACCTCCAAAAAAGCATTTGCACAAAATGACATACATTGTAGTAAATTGATATACCCTGCAGCAGTGGGCGGATGCAAGTATGTTAACTAGTTGCTGATGGTTCTGATTGTACATTCCCTTGAAGATTATACAGTGCTGACAGATATCTAGAACTGGACACCCATTCTTGTATACATTCAGCTTTGGCTCCCTCCCACCCCATTGGCTTGCACAAATGATTGTACACAGACAATAAATTAGATCAAATCACATTGTATGCACCAACAGGAAAAACAACATTCACCATGTTGGAAATTAAGCCTGACAGATTTCAACAGCATTTTCCCCCCTTACTCCCTTCAAGAATAAACCCCACAACTCACTGATGTGACAGGATGCCACGGACTGACAGCCACAGAGAAACTGGATTTTTGCTGAGCTACCTGCGTTCTTTGGTATACTGACCAAGCAGAAAGAAGAACGGCTCTGCATATTGCAGTCCCAAATGCAGCTTTACGGAAAGCAAGGGGGGGACAAGGAGAGAGAAAATCATGATGGCTGGAAATTACATTGGCAGCAGAACAGACACAGAACATCCAAATGTGCTGTAATAAATTCCAAAGCTGAATTCTATGCATGCAGCCGTGGTTGAACCCTGTGAAGGGTAACCTCTTGCTATCAAGCCTCTTGCTACCAAGTGCCAGAAGTCCCATTGAATTGCTCCAGTTATAATCTGTACTGATTTCTTTGCCAAAGGTGTAGAGGATCATCACCCTGAGATAATTGTGTCTGTATGCCTTGCGCCTTTGAAGACAACTGAGGTGATTTCTGGTGTTAGGGGGTTCCCCCCCCCTGCCCCTCTACAGCTAGGTTGCTATGGTAAACCTATTATCCTTGGTAAGGGAAGAGTGCGTTGGTGAAGGGTTGATCCCTTCTCAGCTTTATGTGAGCCTCTAATTACTCAAATGATCAAAAGTCTGCATTGAAAGTAGGGTTATCACAATGCGAGGCAAGAGGAGAAGGCCACAGTGAGTGGGCTTGCTGTTATTTCTGCCGCAGACGCATTCGATACAAGAGTACGGCGACTGAAATTTCTTCACACTAGGTGCTGAGAATTTGCTCCCCTCATTTTGTTGTTTGTTGGATTTCTTCAGGCCAATACAACGGTTGCTTTTATGTAGTGGTGTGTGGTTTGACTGAGGAGGGGTGTTTTGGGGGGGGGTTTGGTCTGCCTGTCAAACAAAGTGTCTGATGCCAGGGAAGGGGGTTGTGGGGTGGGGATTAAACAAAGACATGTAGAAGGTTAGCCAGGGATATTAGAGTGTGCTTATTTGGTGTAGTGGTTAAGAGTGGTGGGCTCTAATCTGGAGAACAGGGTTTGATTCCCCGCTCCTCCACATGCAGCTGCTGAGTGACCTTGGGTTAGTCAAAGTTCTCCCGGAGCTAGTCTCAATTCTCTTAGAGCTCTTTCAGCACTACCCACCTCACAGGGTGTCTAGTGTGGGGAAAGGAAGGGAAGGAGATTGTAAGCCACTCAGAGACTCTGAGTGAAGAGGGGGGTATAAATCCATCCTCTTCTCTTCTTATTATTCCTCTGAAGCAGGGGGAAAAGCATTGAGAATGTCAGGTTCAGCTTTACTTTGGATTCAACAAGAAATGCTTTAGTATCTGCACTATACGGATAATATGTCCAGCTCCATATGATCCTGACACATTCTTAAGAAAAGTTCTAAAAGGAGGAAAGTATAGGGCATTTCCTACCCAACTAGGGTTGACCGGATGTTTGCAAAACAAGTATTCAAATATCAAACTGACCTTGCTTGTACTGCCCATTTTCTGTCTAACTGCTCAGAATTGAAAGTGGGTAGCCTTTCTTTTTTTAATCTTGACTTTAAATTTTTCACAACGTTCATATAGGTTGACAAAAGGTAATTTTGTAGTTTAGTCACAATACAGGGTTGTATGATGTCACATTCGGTACTGTAGCCAGAAGAAATTGGAGGGGATGTGGGGGGGCCAGACCAGAAGCAGCAGGGTGGCTTCCCTTTCCTTCCCCAGCCTCCTCCTATGCCTTCTCTCTCTCTCTCTCCCCCCCCTTCCCTGCCCACCCACCCCCAGCAGCAGGGAGGCTGGGGAAGGAAAGGCAAGCCACCCTGCTGCTTCTGGTCAGTTTCACTTCCCCCAATCAGCTGTTAGGTTTAACAGCTGATAAGGGTGGGGAGTGAAACTGACCAGAAGTGGCAGGGCAGCTTCCGTAGAAAAGCCAGCCAGGCTGCAGAGGAGCATGGGTAAGGGGCGTGGTGCACTGGGGTGGGAGGGGTCTGGGGGGGTCTGGCATCCTCCTGGGGTGGGGCAGGGCTTATCCTTCATAGGGCTCCACCCCCAAATGCCCCACCGTGGCTATGGGCCTGCATGAGATAAATACTTTCAACTAGCTAGCAGAGTGTTACCATATTATAGAGTCACCACAGGATTGCCAGGTCCAGGTTTGGACAGATTTGGAGATCTGAGGGTGGTACCTGTGAGGCTGGGCTTTAGGAAGGGGAGGGATCTCCATAGGGTATAATGCCATACAGTCCACCTTCCAAAGCAGCCATTTTCTTCAGGAGAAGTGGAATACATATTTTGAATAAATAAATAATAAATAAGCTATCTATGTAGTCTGGTGATCCATTGTAATTCTGGGGGATCGCCAGCCCTCACCTGGAGGCTGGCAACCAATGTTCCCTCTAAGCTGTGGAGTCTTGTGAGCAAAAATTCTACTTTGTGAGCTGCTGGCATTAAAGTTGTGAGCGAGGCATTTGGCTACTGCATAATTCAGTTTCCTCTAGAGCCATCCTTCCTGAGCAAGGACAAAAATGTGTGAGCCGGAGGGCTAAAAAACTGTGAGCTGGCTCACACAAACTCAGCTTAGAGGGAACACTGCTGGCAACTCTAAGCTACCATGTTTCCCATCACTTTTATGATGACTAAAGGGCTAGTTACAATACAGAGATAGATAGACAGATGATAGATGGTAGACAGGCAGACAGACAGATAGATAGAGCTCATTCTTTCAAGGCACGTGCCAGGTCTCTTTTTTGAGTGAAAAAATGATAAAAATATACTTTTTCTATGTAAAGGTTATTTTGTACATCTTCCATTTGTGCAGTTGTTTTTTCAGCTATTGAAATTTCCCCTGTTGTGTCATATCGAGTATTAACGGCAAGTGTAAATTTGCTTTTCCAAGGTTTAGAAATGTGTAATGGATTTAGAAGGGTGTAATGCTGTTTAAGATGGTTTTGCAGGCATTCTAGCCTTTTGTTTCTTCCCAGTATGACTAATCATTCTATCTTGGAACCTTTGTGCCTTAGGATAATATAAATAAGAAATTCATCTAACTGCCATTAGACGGGAGTCACCCTTGCACCGTGGGGAGGGGAAGGAGAAGAATGTAATAGATGAGGGTGTAAGTGGCCTGGGAAAGGGCCCCTTCCCTAGTCAACTTGGCTCCATCCCACCCCCCACCAAAGGAAGGATGGAGAGCCTGCCTAGCCAGCCGTGAGCAGGAGATGCCTGGCCAAGGGTGGGTGAGACTGGGAGGGACCCTGCTCTCTAAGGCTAGACAGCTGGCAACCTAAGAAAGGGCCTTCTCGGTCATGGCACCAAAACTTTGGAACACCCTCCCCAGGGAGATTTGTCTGCTTCCCTCTATCATGGTGTTCTGCCAGCAGAAGAAGACTTCTTTTGCCTTTTGTTTGATGTTGCATCCCAAACTCTTATTAGCCCTCCTCCCTACTTGTGTGTTTTTATGTGTTCATATGTTTTATTTAATTGTTTTTTTACATTTCTATATACATTTTAAATAACAGAGACAAATTGGTTCTGCTTTTAAAGGAGATGTTATTATACAGCCCTATTATTTTCCAGCTTTTGATGGCCCCTTACAGAATGCTTGGAATCATGAAGAAAGACGATGTAGTCTTGATTGGGGCATAGGGCATAAATGGTAAAGAGCGAAGAGCATTTCTAAAATGTAGAAACATGCATTTATTATTGGCTAGCTTGCTTAAGTACTCTGAACAGTATTTCTGGCACCTTTCTGTGAGGTGCTTGATCCTGTCATACTGTAGTGTGAATGGCTCAAGTTAGGCTGAGGCAGAGGACTGGCTTCATAACACTTCATAACAACATAAGAACATGGGAGAAGCCAATGTTGGATCAGGCCAATGGCCCATCCAGTCCACCAGTGGGGCCAGGACACTAGAAGCCCTTCATATCACTGTGATAACCTATAAAGGATCTCTAATGCTGCCACTTCTCTAGAACTTCACCCTCTAAAAACTGGCATGCATCCTACCACTCTGCCCAGCAAAATTTGAAGTCTTCCTGCATCTGAAGGAGACTTTCTCCAGCCTATGTGGATTTTCCGCAAAGAGAATCCCCTCTGGATGGAGGAAGGCTTCCGTCTTTGCTGAATGCCAGCCGTTTTATTTACATTTATTTTTCTTTACTGGTTTGATCCTTATGCTGTTGATGACAATTTGACCTTGATAATTCTTTGTGACTCTAACAAGCAATTATTGTTTCCAGGGAAATGTGAATGTGGCCAATGCACTTGTTTCCCGCCAGGAGATGCCAGAATATATGGTAAAATCTGCGAGTGTGACAACCGGCAGTGCGAAGACATAGATGGCCACGTCTGTGGTGGTATGTTATCTTTTAAAAGAACCATGCACAACTCTCACTTTCCATTTATTTTAGCACGCGATATTCCTAAATGAAGCTATCATGTTCATACCCACTTACTCTCCAACAACTAATACACTTGTACAGTGAATGTGCTTATAAAGGGCCAAGGATTGGATTAAATTGATGTTATTAAATTGACTTGCCTGAGACATTTCCCATCCCACAAAGAACAAGTTGTGATGGCCTTGGGAGAGATGGAAACCTTGTTATGTTGAGTATTTGACATTTCCTTTATGTGCTATATTTGTATATTTAGATTTGTTATCTTACATTTGATATATGCATTTTGTAATTTGTTGGGTTGAATAAAGATTAAATTTATAACAAAACTAAAGAGCCAAGTCACAGCCCAGAGGATTTTCAAGGCAAGAGAGTATATAAGGGCCTCTCTTATATTATTTTAAAGAGGCCCTCCACCCTTGTATTCAGTTTCAGGACATGACAGTAACATTCAGTGTAATAGGAATTCCTTAGACTGATCTCCACAGTCTTGAGACTAAGCTCTTCAACTTCAGGTAGGTCCCTGCTGCTGTGTTAATTCCCAATTTTCAAATTTCACACATCATTCAAAAAGGAAATGAAACAAGTAAGGTAAATGAAGACCCTAAATCACCTAATTTATCTACCCTCTCACTCAGTCTCCATAACTACATATAAACATGAATGCCTCAACGGACCTTAAAACTGGTTCCATGAAGGGGACAAGATCCTTTGCAAAGAGTCGTTAGCACATGCTGATAAAGCACAACAGAGCAGAGGACTGTGTAACAATACTGATTTCCTCTCACCGAAAGATCTAGCTCATACAGAGTTTCTGAATGCAAGACTGCAATGGCCCAATGGGAAATTTGACCAGAATGGGATATTTACTTTTTAGGAAACTGGCAAGCACTAATTGTATGACATGTGAATGCCCAGTTGCCTGACATTCAGATCAGATGCTTGGTTGCTGCACATCTGATTGAAAGATGTCCTAAATATGTGGTTTTCTGCTCCTGATGCCAAAAAATAAGACATTCAGTGTTGCAGATAAGTCTTCTGGACAGGTAGGTCCATAGAAATGCATTATAAGTGGCCCTTGTTTGGTGTAGTGGTTAAGTGCGTGGATTCTAATCTGGGAGAACTGGGTTTGATTCCCCACTCCTCTACTTGCAGCTGCTGGTGTGACCTTGGGTTAGTCATAAGTTCTTTCAGAGTTGTTCTCTCAAGGACAGTTCTCTCAGAGCTCTCTCAGCCCCACCTACCTCACAGGGTGTCTGCTGTGGGGAGGGGAAGGGAAAGGAGATTGTAAGATGCTCTGAGACTCCAAGTGAAGGGCGGGGTATAAATCCAATCTCTTCCTCCTCCTCCTCCTCCTCCTCTTCTTCGATGCACAAGTTGATACACCATTAATCAGATTCTGCATGCAGTGTGCAAAAGTGATCAGCAATTATGTCCTAAGTAGAGTTATACCCTTCTAAGTTCAGTGACTGCACTAAAAGATCTGTATTCATGCATCTGAAAAAGTGATCTCTGGCTGCTTATATGGGAATAAATTTTGCTGGTCTTCAAGGTGCTCCTTGACCACCTGTGTGATTTTGCTGGGAGGACCCCATAAGTTTTAACATGGTGGCTACCCCTTTGACCTTATATCTGTTTATGCAGGCAGAGATGTCCAGAGATATAAAAGCTTGCCATATCTTTACTCTGTGCACTGGATTCTGGTTACTAAGCAAACTATGCAATCTGCTATCGGCCAAATGTATCTTAATAGAATAAAATACTCAGTCGAAGTGCCTTATAGATGGCTTTGGAAAATTCATTTACTCACGAGTTCCTGCATGAAAAGTGAAACCCTTTAGAATTGCAGAATGTGTTGTAGCAAGAGAGAACGTGGGCAAAATCAGGAATTTCGTCTTCAGCTTAGGTGCCTGCTAAACTGGAGGAGGGGGGGTTTGGCAACCCAGGTGATTTCAATAAGAATTGTCACCTGCCTTTCCTGACTAGCCGAGATTGATTAATAGCTTGCTTTTCAGACCATAGGCCCAAGTAGATATAAGGAGAAGAATGTGATAGATGAGGGTGTAAAGTGGCCGTGATCTTGCATAGTTATAGTGACTCGAAAATGTAGCTGTCCGTCATTTAAGGAAGGGAGGAATAAGCCTTCTCAACAGAACCTGTCACCCAGCTCTGACCTTCTGCTCTGAGAAGCGTAAGGAGTCGAGGCTCTACACAACCTGCCCCATTCTGATCACAGCCCCTTGAAATAACAATAAATAACTCAGTCCCTTAAAATAATGCCCACCGATTGCAACGGAGTTTATTTCTGATGACTTCAGCACACCAGGACTCTTTGATTAGTGGACTATCCTAACCATTTGGGCTTTTAAAAAACAAAATAGGTGTACATGGAAAGAAAATCCCAAAAATATTCTAGGAAGAGGAAGTCGGCAGTGATAGAAAAGAATACAGATTAAATAGTGCTATTCTTGATTTAAATGGCGCTTTTCCTGCAGTCAGCATGCTTCCCCCAGTCTGATCTTGTCAGCCTCACCACCACCCTGTCAAAGCCACCGTCTTGTTCCCATAACTGCTGAGGAGAATTGTGCCCGAGAGAGCGGGGCCGTAAAGCCGTATGAGGTATGGGATTTCAGCTGCGCTTTCCCAATATCAAGGTTGTTTCACAATTGTTGCTTAAACAGATGTCTGGTTGGTTCCAAACGTTTAGTAGTTCTATTAAGACCACTGTCTGGCTTAGCTGCCAGGTTTGGAAATGGTAGTAGGGAGAGAGTGAAAAGGCTAAGAATTATGTGTGGTTAAAGTGTCATCACAGCCAATTTATGGAGACCCCCCTAGGTTTTTAAGGCAAGAGATGGTTTGCTGTTGCCTGCCTCTGCATAGTGACCCTGGTCTTCCTTGGTGGCCTCCCATCGACGTACTAACCAGGGCCAACCCTGCTTAACTTCCAAGATCGGGCCTGCCTGGACCATCAGGGCCATCCAGATAACAATAAATTTGGTTGGTGATTTTAGCAAGAAAATAGCCCAAGGAGAAAGAGTGAAAGAGCCCTCCCCCTGTCTGTGCTGCTTAAAATGCAGCCCTAGTGTTTGTATTCTCTTCTTTAAAAAACTAGCCAGGAAAAAGAATTGGGGGAACAAATGCAACATCTAGTTCAACCCTCGTGATGAGAATCAGAAGAGAATGATTTTGCATGGAATGTCCAGAGTAACTAATATCTGGCTAACAAGGGACTCTTTGTTCTGCCATAACCCCCTTTGCAAATCCCTTTTACTGTGGTTTTAAAAGATTTTGCTGAGGCTGGATATCTTATGCACCCTTTCCCTATCTGTTCAATGACAGTGTATGGAAACTCATTACCTGTTATTTTCTATGGATTAACAACAACCAAGGACAATAATGCTAGCACTTTATGTCATCAGTTTGTTGCAGTACTGTTTTAATGTGTTTTAATTGTTTAATTGTAATTTATGTATTGCTTTATGTAAACTGCCCTGAGCCAGCCTCAGCAGGGAGGGCGGGGTAAAAATCTGACTAAATAAAATAAATAAATACAAATAAATTAGGTTGTTCTTGCAATCCCTCATCCACTACTTTAATTTTTCTGGAAGATTATGAGGCTGTCCTCTCAAGCCAGATGCTCAGTGGGGCCTGCCCCAAATTATTAATTGGAACCTAATTTAGTAAGTAGGCTTAATGGTTTTACCATCAGGTCCACTGATGGATGGATGGGTAGATGGATAGTTGGTTGGATAGATGGATGGACAGAGATGCATACAGGTGAATGGGTTCGATCCAGGTAGCTTTTCCCCAGGGTGAAAAAAGGAGGGACCGTCTTTGATCTCCCAGAAGCACTATACTAGGTTTGATCTCCAAAAATTGCTATACTGGGGGCCACGGGAGCTGCACAGGCAAAAGCCATGTGTGGCTAGGAGTGTAGTAAGGAAGAAAACTGGGTGAGATGATTTTAAAAAAGCAAAACCTGGCTGGATTCATCCCAGTATTTGTAGCTGTGAGTGCAGGAGGAGCAGCAGTTTACCCACCATAAAATACACAGTATGTCATTGTTACCGAGTGCTTAACTTTGTATAGCAATTACGATCTAAAATGAAGAACAATCAATAAACAGCCTGGGAATCGTAACGTGACTTGAATCCAGAAGCTGTTCTCAGAGCTTTTGTGTACACAACTAAGAGCAATTCAAAGACTTTTACTGATAAAAGTAGAAATTAGCAAAGGGGTTTGGGAGGCGGGATTATGGATGAAGAGCTGAAGAACCAATTCACACTTCACTCAGGATGCTGTCTTTCTGCTTATATTCCAATGTTTGCAGTACTAAATGGGCAATTTCAACGGCTCGGTGTTATACAGTTGACAAACACACCGAGGAGGAGCAGGCAGACTGTGAACCCCTGGAACAGATGTACTGTAATAGTGATGGCAAAAAAGAGAGAGAGATGTTAAACAGATGCATCTTTTCCCATCATAGTGCCTCACTTCAAAGTATTGGAAGGAATAGACTGTGCAATGTCACTTAATGCTGGCACTGACATCGGAGTCTCAGGGGAGGGCAGTAGAGAGTCAAGACCAGGAGCACCTTAGTAACCCACAAGAGTTTCAGGGGATCAGCTTTTTGGAGCCAAAGCTGACCTTTGTTTGTCCCCTCCTGCAGCTGTCTCTTTGTTACCCAGAATGCTATTTGTAGGGCTTCCTTCCCTTTTCTCTCTTTCTTCTGTCAACTGCAAGGGCTGGGCATGCTTTCTGCAATCCATTTTAGCTTAGCCAGATAGCCAGAAGCCTTTACTCTGCCTTTCCTATCTAGTATGGAGCCCTCTTCCGACAAAGAACTATTTCTCTTCGAAGCAATGAGCCTTAGTGTGAACTTATTCCTCAGGCAGGCAGACTACAGAATTCCATTGTGCAGAGACTCAGCTGTGCTTTCTCACAACATTCCTAAAAGGATAGGCGCTTTTTCCTAGACGGGATATGGCAACCCTAGTGGCTTGCCTGCAATACCTTCATCCCATGAATTACTCTTTCAAATTGTATGCCAAGCGGAAATCAGACTCAGGCCAAATCCCCATTCAGATCCTCACAGGAAGTTCATTTGAGTGCCTGGGGCTAGGACTCCTAGCTGTTTTTCTGACAGGGCTTCTGTGGTGGAAATTTAGTAGGCATAGCTTTCCCTATCACTTTATTTCCGTAACAGGAAAATTTGGGGCTTGGAACCTACCCAGAATTTCTATAGGTGTACAAGAAGGGTAGTTTACGTTAATGCTCCCTTCCCATGGGAGACCTCTGATTCCTCCTCAAGCTATGCTTGTGGGTCCTCCATCCCCAAGTAGCAGTATTGGGGGGGCATTTCGGGTTGCCGTGCAAAAAAATATGCTGGAGATTGCCCCCCCTCCCCGTTGGAAATTCTAGATGGGATTGAATCTTTCATTAGCTACAATCCTATAGTTCAGCCAGCTCCTAAAGATACTGAAGCACTGTTAGAAAATTTTCTGAAACAGGATCTTGGTCAGACCATTTTTTTCTCAGCCTAACCCACCTCACAGTGTTGTCGTGAAGGGAAATGGTATGTTTAGAAGTCACAGTGAGCTCTCAGGACAGGACAGAGAGAGTAGTCTTAAAACGCAGATCTTTGTAAACCATTTGTTCATCTCCCCCTCTTATCCACTTCCATTCCAGGTCATGGGATCTGTTCCTGCGGTCGATGTATTTGCAAAGACGGGTGGTTTGGGAAGTTGTGCCAACATCCACGGAAGTGCAACATGACAGAAAGTGAGAGCAGGAGCTTTTGTGAATCAGCAGACGACACAATGTGCTCAGGAAAGGGTAAGTGCAGGAAACGGAGCAAAGCCATGTCTCAGCCATGTTCTGAGGGATTAAAAAACACAACCGTGGGTTATAAATTGCAGCACTTTCTTTCAAAAAACCCTCGCTGTTTGACAGCTGTTCAAAATGGCTTTACAATACAGCGTACTCTTGTTAGAAGGTTCTCTGTATTGTGTTTAGAAGCTTTGCTTTCAGGCACTGTTTACCAACAGCATGGGCCCCCATTTGGAGGCATTCTTGTGGGTGTATATCTATACGGGGGCCATTGTCTATTGGGGCTGCATTCTGGCATTGTATTTGGAGTGCCACTAGCAGCAGGCAGGAGTATGTTTGCGGTACAGAGGAAGGAAATACAGCACTTGACTTAAGCGGGAAAGCTCTTTCTTTTGCACTGTCCCTTCCATTCCTGCAACTATCAGAACCTGTCGAGAATGATAGATTCTACACTTTGTCATGTTGCAATTATGATTCATTCGCACATTGTGTCTGCCTTATGTTTTCAAACTTCGATGGTGTTCGCACCAGTCTGGTGAAATGGAGGAGTCTAATAGCAACACACTGTCATTGAGGAAGAGAATGTAAAAATCTTCCGAAGTCATGTGTAATTTGATTATTTAGGAAAACAAACACTTGTGTCCCAGAATTTGGCATTTTATTGTTCTAATCCTGTAAATCAGGGGTCCACGATATGGTGTCCATGGGAGCCATGGTACCCCACTGACACCTTTCCTGGTTCCCACCACGTGTTTTTAGAAAGTGGGTGGGGCCAGGTAGGGCCTTTGCCCAGCAAGCCTTCTGATTGGCCATTGGAGATTTCATTGGCTGTGTACATTTAAAAAAAAAAACATGTTGCTCTGGCAGCAGCTGCCACCACAGCACAAGAATCTTCACTGTGTGACTGTAGGTAAGCTGCGGCAATCATTTTCGTGGCTGGCTTCACCTCTTGCAGCAGCCATTTTGTGGCTGTACCCACCACACTGTGTCAGAATTCCAAAGGTGGCCACAGGCACAAAAAGGTTGGGTACCTCGCTATAAATTATCTTTTCGTATGGATGATGCACAATAACCAGCTTGCCCGTGTCAGCTCTTTCCCCCACCCCTTGGCTATTTGACACAATTTATTTTGAGGTTTCTCCCCACTGTTGTAATGCATGGTTCACTTAGTTATTGCTCACAATTCAGATGACGCTTGCCCCCAGCCTGTTCCTTTCCTCATGCAGATCCCACCATTCCCCACAGACATCATGCATTGCAATCTGTTAAGCAGTAAGCACAACTGTAGCATGTAGGGTTGCCAACTCCAGGGTGGGAAATTCCTGGACATTCGGGTGCAGAGCCTAGGGAGGTATATAATGCCATAGAGTCCATTCTCCAAGGCAGACATTTTCTCCAGGGGAACTGATCTCTGTAGCCTAGAGATCAGTTGTGATTCTGGGAGATCTTCATCCCCCACCTGGCATAACTGGTGTTTTCACTGTGGTGTGGCCAGGAGGAGTTTCTCTACTAGAAGAAGAAGAGAAGAAGAGATTGGATTTATACCCCGCCCTTCACTTGGAGTCTCAGAGCGGCTTACAAACTCCTTTCCCTTCCCCTCCCCACAACAGACACCCTGTGAGGTGGGTGGGGCTGAGAGAACTCTGACACAAACTGCTCTTTTTCAAGGACAGCTGTGCCAGAGCTTGCGACTGACCCAAGGTCACATCAGCAGGTGCAAGTGGAGGAGTGGGGAATCAAACCCGGTTCTCCCAGATTAGAGTCCGCACACTTAACCACTACACCGAACTGGCTCTCTAGCATTATCTTTCCTTCTTCTTGGCTACATCTTCTCATCATTTCCCCACCAATGGGATGACTGTCCCATCATTGCAGCCAGTATTACCTGGCCTCTCTCTATGTTGGCCAATCAAAGGTGGATGCTTTTCATCTTTTCTTCAAGCTTGCTTCTATATCCCTCTGATTAAACACATGTTTGAAATTTCAGGGCTCACCTAGTCTAACATTTGTTATTTATTTTATTTTTTTAATTATTATTATTATTGGATTTGTATCCCACCCTCCTCGCATAGCAGGCTCAGGGCGGGTTCCAGCCAGTAATGCAGATTTACAATTAAAACATATTCATCAGTACAGCATTAATTAAAATCATTAAAATCATTAAAAACACTAAAACATACAGTGTGCCTCAAAAGATTATATTAATTCTGGCAACGTTGTAGTTCCAGTCAGCTCCTAGGATCTACGGTCACTGGAGGGGAGGGCAGATCAAAATGGATGCCCACTGCCTCAACTAAAAGCCTGGTGGAAGAGCTCTGTCTTACAGGCCCTGTAAGACCTGATCACATAAGGTAGCTCATTCCACCAGGTGGAGGCCAGGGCCAAAACGCTGTGGCCCTAGTTGAGGCAAGTCAGACATCCCTAGAGCCAGGGACAACCAGGAGATGCTGATTCACAGAATGCAATGTTCTACAGGGCTCATATGGGGAGAGGCGATCTCAAAGATATGCAGGCCCCTGGTCATACAGTGCTTTAAAGGTAAGCACCAGCACCTTGAAACAGATCTGGTATTCAACTGACAGCCAGTGCAGTTCACGCAGCACAGGGTGGATGTGTGCCCACATAGGCAAAGACATTAACACCCATGCCACTGCGTTCTACTTTTCCACCTGACAGAATACCCAGAAGAACCCATGCTCCCTGCTTAAGAAAAGTAGTATAATAAAAGCAAATAGCTGAAAACCAGGTTCCCCCATGAAACACTCACAAATGCACACAATGGACAGGGAGCACAGACCACAATGAAAATTATGGCAACAGCAACAAGTTCAGGCTCCCAAAGACTCCCCAAAGAGTTCTGCTTTGATGGCAGAACACCAATAATGAGCCCACAAGTACTCCCTGCTTCAGTACTCAAAGTCGCTTTGGTTGTTGCATCTCAAAAAAGAATTGGTGAAAGCCCTTATGTATCATAGCTGATGGTCTAAATATAAGATCATGTAGTAGTACTATAGTAAACTTTTTTGTTTTATGGGTTTGGTACAGAAATGTTTGCTTAAAGGCGAGAGTTCACTGAACTGGAAGCCGATAAAAGTGCTCAGTATGCCATTTTTCAGTGGTTAGTTAGCAAGGTCTGCTGAGAGAAGGTACTGTTACTGAATGAAATCAAGCTACTCAAACCAGAAATAATGCAGCCAAAAGTGAAACTGTTTTAAAATTAAATACTTTGCTTAACGTCCTCATGGAAACCAGTGGAACTCAAAAGTGCCCTAGTTCTGTGTGATGGGGTTTTAGATATCCTTCATGGACTGAGGAGTTCCACTTTATTCCATTTAGTCAAAATCAGAGGGTTACTTCTGAGAAGAAAATTGGTTAGAAAAGAAAAAAGTGCGGTATTTGAGTGGTGCTCTACTTCCTCATAGGCAGAGGATAATAAGATACTAACTGTGGGGACTTATTCACATAACTTCAGGTCATTTTTGTCCCTGACAGAATTTTAGTGACTTCACAGGGATTATCTCCATTCTCTCCCCCTTACCTGAGCCAAAAACACCACAGTCCTGCTGGGAACAGTAGCCTTGATTTTAGAGCTCTGGGACAAAGGAAAAACCTCTTCTTCGAAATAATTCCTGATTAAATCAAAATGGAGAGGGGGAAATCACTACAGGGCCTTGTGAAGAACACTTCAAGTTAAAGCACACCTCTATAACATCCTTCTCTTCAATAGGTTTTATCTTGATTATATCCTAGTAGACAATCGCTTATTAATAGGCACTGATTGTGCGCGCCTGAGATGTTCCATGCCTTACTGAAAAACTCACGTGTTCTGTAAATGCTTGTAATAACCATTGTGCTTACTACTTTCAGGTTCTTGTCACTGTGGAAAGTGCATCTGTTCACCCCAAGAATGGTATATTACTGGGGAATTCTGTGAGTGTGATGACAGAGACTGCGACAAGCACGATGGCCTCATTTGCACAGGTATAGCGTGGTTTTTCACACTAACTGCTCCTTTAGAAGCAAAGAGTAATAGAGACCAAAAGTCATTCAGTCGAAGACCCCCTACCACCCTAAAGAGTACTGCAACCTCATGGCCTCCCACCAGCCCACATATACGTTTTAGACAATACTGTGTGACAAAAGTAAAGAGAAGGAATACCCCAGAAGTCTGTTTGCAGTAGGGATGCCAGCCTCCAGGTGGGACCTGGGGATTCCCTGAAATTACAGCTGATATATATAAAGATTGGTAGCCGTGTTAGTTTGTATGTAGCAGTAGAGTCCAGCAGCACCCTAAAGACTAATGAAATTAGTGGTAGGGTATGGGCTTTCATGTGTCACTGCTTATTTCTTCAGATACCTAAAGACTCTTACTCTTTTCAGCTGATGTACAGACTACAGAGATCAGTTCCCCTGGAGAAAAGGGTGGATTCTGTGACATTGTGAGGTCTCTGTCCTCCCTAGGCTCCATCCCCAAATCTTCAGGAGTTTCCCATCTGGATCTGGCAACCCTACCCCCCATCCCCCACCAGTGACCACAGGGGACCCAGAAACCCTAGTTTGCAGAGCAAATAGTTCTCCATCCACAGCAGGGAAATTCCTTCCTGATGTTCAAGCCCAAAATTCAGACCCTCAAAGTAAGCAAAAACCCACCCAGAGAGCCTTCTCAAAGGAAGTGGGGTATGTGGGGAAAGGGAAAGGATATATAGGCCCCGGTCACACGGGCAGGAAAATGCGGGGGGGGGGGGAGCGTGGCTGTTTGCCCCGGAGCAAAATAACGTGCGGCTGCGTGATTAGACGTCCCGTCCAGGTTCCGTCGAGGTCCTGTGGTTAGGGTGGAGGTGCCGATCACAGGACAATCTTGCGGTGCGGCAAAGAAGTGGCCTCCCTAGCAAAAGGCTCCAGGTTTAACCCCTTCCAGGGCTGCAGAGGAATGCTACGTGTCCTCCATCCGGTCCCCTCCAGGAGGAGCTTCAGCTGGGCAGCCCTCCCGCCACACCCCCCTGCACCTCCCCCTCTGCCGCCTGGTGCAGAGAGTTCCTCTCGAGCAGGCCGAGCCAGGAGTGGGGGAGGTACAGAAAAGAGGAGGGGGCTGTGTTGTTTGTTTTTAAATGAAGGGTGCGCATGCGCCGTTGGGTGCTTGTGCGCATCCCATGGAGACTTGAAAAAACCCACCTTTTAGCGACGGGACATGGGCAGGCGCCGGATGCCACGACCTCCCACCAGAAACGCGATCAGGCGCCCGCCCTTGCCCCGCGGTTTCCGGAAACTAGTACCTCCGAGGTACTAGTTTTTTACCCCGCATCTTCGGCGGGAAGCCTCGGGTTCGCCACGGGAGCTCTACGCTTCCCAGATGTGGCGCTGTGATCGCGCCCGGAAAATCCGCCTACCTTCCGTCTCTGTAGTGTGGCTAATGCTCCGTGTGACCGTAGCCCCAGTCTGCTAAAAACAAATCACAGGTTTTTTTAGAGTGGCTGGCCAAGCTTGCCTGTTTTGTTTATTGACAGGAAGTGAAAATAACGCAAAGCCTACCCAAAGCCAGTGTGCTATTGTGGATAAAATGCGGGATTGTGGAGACATGACTTAAAATCAGCCATGAAGCTGACTGACCTTGGATTAGTCACAAACTAACTCACTTCAGAGGGTGGCTGCGAAGATAAATGACACAAACTCTACATGCGCCACTTGACCTAGTAGATAGGCATGTCATAAATTTTTCTTTTTAAAAAAATTCTGAATGTTTAAAAATATATGAAGAAATCATATGTTAGTGTTGTGGGGGGGGAGATGGGTGAGTGAGAGAAAATATAGTGGACATATGGTTGTTATATGGCACTCCAGCTATGGTGGAACAAAGTCCAGTGGCAGCTTTAAGACCAACAGAGTTTTATTCTGGATATAAGCTTTAGTGTGCACACACATTTCTTCAGATATCTGGTATTTTGAAGGCGTATGCATGCACACGAAAGCTTATACCCAGAATAAAACTCTGTTGGTCTTAAAGCTGACACTAGACTTCTGTTGCTTCAGACCAATATGGCTACCCACCTGAATACCCACACAGCTGTGGTGATTATGGGACAGAAATCTAACCCCTCCCCTGCTTTCAACATGTTGTGACCTTTTAATTGAAAAGGTTCTGTGTTTTTTTAATGTATTCTGTTAAAATACATATATTCTTTAGAGTTGTACACTTTCTTCAAGCACCCTAAGGATGAACATTAGGAGGGTTAAACCCTTCATCTCTTCTCTGTTGTGTGGTGATTTTCCAGTTTCTTATTTCCTTCATAGTTTGGAAGCTGAAGGGACTTTAAAAAATTGTCTACAAAGCTGCCTTATTCTGATTCAGACCATTGGTCAGTCTAGCTCAGTGTACACTGACTGACAGCAGCACCCGAGTTGATTGACAATATGGTTCATCGTTATGGCTTCTGTGCAGTGCCACAGGGCCAGCTGCAGAAGAGCTAACAAGCGTTCTAAAAGTTCCTTCTACAGCCTTTGACTGCTCCTCCCAGCCCCCCGTCTCAGTGTATCCCTCTTTCCACCTGAAGGGTCATGTGACAGGGTGGGGCAGGCACTCTGCCTTCGGTTCTCCTTTCACCGCCATGGGGAGAGCACGAGTCTTTCTTTGCTCCACTGTTTATTCTACACCAGCATGAATACTTTGAGAAATGGCTTTATTCAAGAAGTGCAAGGAGTGTGGGGCTAGAATGACCATAAATCATGTCTATTGTGTTTGGGCAAAGGACACAATACCGCTTCATGTCCGGCTTGACACCACCTCACCCCAAAAGTGAGAGAGGGCAGAGCAGCTAGATTAAAGGCTGCCCTATGGAAAAAAGCTTTGGATGCCCCAAACCCCCAAGAGGAAAAATGGGTACAAAGCAAAAAATAGATGAGGTTCCCTGATTATAGATTTCAGGTACCCCAAAATCCTAATTAAGCATACAGGCCATTTCAAAATCAAATAACGAGGGCACAAAAACCTTTAGACCAAAGGGTAAGCATTCAAGCCACACCCCAAAGGAACAACACCCGAGGGGATCAACCACAGCCTGACTAAGAAGGCAAGTTTTATTTTTGGACCAGTTGTCCCATTTTTCACAAGTTTGGCTATTACTGATGATGCTTGGGTTATTTTGGTAACAAATAGGGGTTATTTCATTGAATTTGATTCCATGCCTCCACTTCATCCTACAATACCTTCCACATCATCTCCATGTATCTTCCTATCACAGGAAGTTTCTCCTCTCATTTCCAAAGAGGCTATACATAAATTGCCCTCTGAAGACAATGACAGGGTTTTTCCCTTTAGATTCTTTACCATCAATAAAAAGGATGGTGGGTAAAGACCCATATTGAACCTCAGAGTTATTAGTAGACACATCAGAGTGTCCAGGTTTAGGATGCTTTCCCTCCAGGACTTACTACCTCTCCTGCAACTGGATTTATGGTTCACTGTCCTTGACTTAAAGGATGCGTATTTCCACATTTTGATTCAAAACCCAGCAGGAAGTTCCTTAGGTTTACCTATGGTGGTCAGGCCTCTGAATACACAGTCCTTCCATTTGGTTTAGCTACAGCACCCAGGGTGTTCACCAAGTATGTCTCTGTCATAATATCCTATCTCAGACTAAGGGGTTGTATTATTTACGACTGCCTTGACAACTGGCTTTTTGTTAGTAATTCAACGGAGGGGCTCCTTCACGACCTTCAACTGGACTCTCCATGCTGCAGAATCTAGGTTTTTTCTTTAATTGAGAGGTCCCACCTGTCTCTTTCTCAATCAGTGGAGTTTATTGGGGCTATTTTAGATGCTTCCAAGGCCAGGGTCCTCCTACTAAGCAGAAGAGCCCTGGCCATTATTGGTCTGGTTCAGAAGTTCTCCAACAGCAGATTTCAGTCAGCTAAGGTCATTCAAAAACTCTTAGGATACATGGCTTCAAACACAGCAGTTGTAACCTTTGCCAGGCTGCCCTTCAGAATTGGTTCCTGTGGTCCTTTAGACCTCAGTCACATTCACAATGGAGAAAAATTCTATTCCAGCTAAATTGACACTTAGGGGTACCATTTGGGATGCATCCTGGTGATTGCTAAGTTTTCACAGAAGCCTCATTAGTGGGTTGGGTTGTTCTTTGTGACAGGTATACTGTTCATAGGAGCTGTAGTGGCTCAAGTGGTTAAGACGTTGAACTGCAGGCTGTGGAAGGTCAGTAGTTCAGCAGTTCAAGACCCGGGTGCCACATGATGGAGTGAGCTCCCATCTCTAGTTCCAGCTCCTGCCAATCTAGCAGTTTGAAAGCAAGAAATTGCAAGTAGATAAATAGGTACCACTTCGGTGGGAAGGTAACAGCGTTCCGTGCGCCTTGGTTTTTAGTCATGCCGGCCACATGACCACAGAAACGTCTTCAGACAGTGCTGGCTCTTCGGCTTTGAAACTGAGATGAGCACCGCAACCCTAGAGTCAGATTCGACTGGCTTTCGAGCAAGGGAACCTTTATACTGTTCATGGAATTTGGTTGAGCTCAGAATCTAAACCAGATCAATTTTCTAGAACTAAGAGCAATCAGACATGCACTCACTTCTTTTTCAGAGTTATTCATTGACCGACATGCTCTGGTGGCAACTTACAACACCACAGCAAAATTTTATCTAAACAAGGGGGCATGGGCATAGGTAATTCACCTATGCACAGAAGCCATAAGAATCTAGCAGTGGGCAATAAGAAACAACGTACAGCTCACAGCCACTCTCAGCAGACACACAGACCATAATTGTCTATTATCTCCTCCCATTTTTCAGAATGGAGCTATCCAGAGGCCAATCTGTTCATCTACAAAACCAATACAAAGTGTCACCTCTTCTGTTCCAGAGCAGCAGCAGACAGGGAATCCCTGGGGAACACAGTCCAGTTATACTGGCATGGCAGCCTATTTTATGCCTTCCCACTGGTGGGGATTTTGCATAAGGTTCTCACCAAAATA